TAGTGATGCCGACAATACTCTTGACAAAACCTGATAAAAATATAAACTAGCTACGTAATAGGTTTATACTGTTTATATTTTTAACGCTTTCGATTGAACCGTAAAAACTATCAAAATATAAACTGATAAAACTACTGATAAAACTTTATACATATGCTTGCGATAAAACAAGAATTTTTTATTCCTGTCATCAGTATTTTTTTGCGATCACTATGCAAATTTTTACTCTCACTCGCACCATTATTATCTTTTTTATGTTTGTTCTTATAACTCAAGGAGTTCCGCTCCGCCCCCTCAACCTCTACCTCGACCCACGACAATCCCTATGATTGTTCCGAATGATGATTCGCTCCCTCCGATCTTTCCAGGCAAGACGCGCTTATTTGCGCGAGCAATACCAACCCCTACAACTGTTCCGAATCAGCCAGACATGAATGATCCTATGCATCACCTCACTAAACCCCATCCACCCGCATAAATTTGTAATATCCTGTCCCCGATTTATTATTCCTGCAATTTTATTCCGCTTTTTCTTGACGTCTTTTATATTATATTAATTTTATGTTATTTTGTATAATGCTATATTTTTTTTACTGCAAATTATAAATAGCATTATGTTCTTATTGCTATTCAATTTGATATTTTTGCTGCAAAATTTTACATTTATCTTTGAAAAGTTTCTTTAAGAAGAAACTCCATTTAATTGTGTCTTGTATGCTCTTATGTGAAATTTTAATAAAATATATATAATTCATAATACAAAATTTTTTTGAATTATCGCTCTTTTCGATTTAGTTGGATCAAAGATCTGCATAATTTTTTTTTGAGTCCCGTGAATCCTGTGATTACAGTAAAGTAATCTCTTAAACTTTGTAATATTTTGTAGGACCCATTTTAAAATTCATATATTTCCCTTCTATTGATAAATAAGTTTATCGCTCTTTTCGATTTAGTTGCATCGAGGATCTGCTGTAACGAATAAAAATTTTCTTTTCCTTTTTTTTTATCGTTTTATTATTATTATTATTATTATTATTATAGCTTTACTATTACTATTTTATGTATATATTTCTTCTTCAATTCCATTTGATAGCAGTAACCGATTACATTGTCTTGTTTAAATATTTTATCAAGTATACTAAAATAAAATTGGTTTTGACTTGGTGATTTACTGTTCCGCGTCGTTACGGGATTTAAGTCGATTCGGAATTGGCATGAGTTATTTCTCGATTTTCACCGATCGTGAAATGGCCCAGGTTAATTTGTTATGCAGATCATGACCCAGATTGATTCATGAGACCTAAGCAATTTAATAAATTGCAGATGTAATTTATTAAATATCAATAATGTTAATAATAACTAGGTTAATGCGTAGCATTGTGTGTCCGGAGCACATGATAATCATCATATTGCACAAACGCGTGATATGCATGCTTTTGTTACACTAAAGTACAAATATAGACACGCGTGC